GCTCTGGTGTCTGCTCCCTGGTGGGTGAGGCTGTTCTAGAAGCTTGTGGAGGCTTCCATTCAGGAGGGGCCAGTGCCTGCCCACTGGTGGGTGGAGCTGTGTCTTGACCCTCTGATGGTCAGGACCATTTCTAGAGGCAGATGTGGGCTCAGACATTCTTCCTGCAGCCTGTCTGCTACAGGCTGTTTGTTGGTTGGGGTCAGGTCTTGTTCTTAATGACCCAAGCAAGATGTCTGCCTCCAGGAAGGAGAGTTCATGCAGATGAGTACTACCCTGCATGTCTGCTACTGTCCATGTCCCCAGGGAGAGCCACAGCCAGCCCCTGCCTCCCCCAAGACACCCTTCAAGATCAGCAGGGAGGTATGGCCCAGGCTCCTAAAAACTTACTGCGTTTTCTCTTGGTCCTGGTGAGTGTGAGATTTTTGTGTGCATCCTTTAAGAGTGAAATCTCTATTTTCTATTTTCTTAGTCCCATGGAGCTCCTGCAATTAAGCCTCAATGGCCTTCAAAGCCAAGTACTCTGGGGATTCCTCTTGCCTGGTCTGGACCCCTGGGCTGGGGAGCCTGACATGGGCCTCAGAACTCACTCTGTGGGAGAACTTCTGCAATGTAATTATTCTCCAGTTTGAGGGCACCCTCAACCCATGGGTAAGGGATTTGATTATATCACGAGTCTGCCGCCTCCTACCTGTCTCATTGTGGTTTCTTAGTCTTTAGTTATGGAAGATCTTTTCTGGTACATTCCAGTTTTTATCAATGGCTGTTCTGTAGTTGTGATTTTGGTGTGTTCATGAGAGGAGGTGTATTCTGGCTACTTCTATTCCTCCATCTTGGCTGCCTCCCAGCATACTCATTCTTTTAATAGGCATACATCACTATTTTCACATTGCTTTGGCCAGAATTGAATTAAATGGTCCCACCTAGTTACAAGGGAATCTGGCATGTATCCCCCCTGCACGGTAACTGTAACATGTTAAACTATGGGGTTCTGTTACCAAAGAAAGAAAAGGAGAATGGATATTAAAGGATAAGTAGTAGTCTTTGCCAAAATACAAAAAAAAAAAAAAAAACCAAATATTCTGGATTTCATATAAGGGAAATTGGAGACATAAACAAGCACACCAAAAAAACACTTTTACACAACATCTCATTCACCAAAAAATTCAAATAACAAAATTAGAATTAAATCAATGCAATTATTTTTTCTTTACAAATCTAAGCATTTTAAGTCCTTTATTTAAAAGCAGCAAACAAACATGCACTTGTACCCACTAAAAATTCATCATATCAGACAAAGAATCAGAAGGTTTATTTACTTAAAACATTTGACAAGTATTGTACTGTTCTTAGACAATCATTTATTTAAAATAATATTCTAAATACTTACAAAAATAAATCAAGTATTGCTTCTATTTTTCAAGTGTCAAAGTCTTTGCCATAGAAAATAGAAAGAACCTTTTATAAACTAAACATTACATTTAAGCTACATCAAGTTTAATAACTGCATACTATTTTCTTTGCAGTTGTGCTTTACAAATTTCCCAACAACTTCTTCACAATGTACAGGTTCACAATAAGAATGTATGCATACAACCATATACACACATTTTTACATAGGAATGTTTCTCATTAAATATACATATAGAGAACCTAACACAGTACTATGGCCTAAAAGCCACCTACAGGGCCCATGTGCCACTATCCAGACAGGTGTGGATGCAGAAGCATTATCTAACAAACATTCAAATTAGCACTCCAGTTATCAAAGATGATGACATCTTAGTAAGGGATACTCAGTTTAATGTTTCTAGATAAGACATTAATTCTTAATCTATAACAAATCATTTGTTCAATAGCCTTATTCATTGAAAAATAGCATGAACTTCAAATATTTCTCAATACATTGAGTTACTCTGAGGATAAACATCATTGTCATATGTATACACACTTTCACTTTTTAAAAAGAGAATATTAATCTTAGAGCAAATGCACACAATTAAAGATCATTCCTAAATTGGTCCTAGGTTTTAATCACTGGGACATTCAATTACTTGTCAAATAGATTAAGTGCTGACTTTCTCTTCCCTGGTATATGCACTCAAGCCTCATAGCAGACGTGTATAAATCACAGTTGAAGATGAATATTTATAATGCTTTACCACCCACAGGGTGTCAATCTCACTACATTAACCAGATGTGGAAAAGAATCTCACTTCTGATCAGTTCCTGAATTTCCGTATGATTAATCTCAGTAACATAGAACTTTAAATTACACTAGTAATTTATTAGTATAAATACATATCAAGCATTTTAAATTCTATCAACTAGAAAAGTGACAAATCACAAAATTTCCTTTTTCTCTATGTAGGAAAAAGAATCTAGTCTTACTACTCAGAAACTGTATGAATTATTTAGAAATTCCAAATATAATAATCGAAAATTTATGAGCAATTGAACTGTGAAAATACTAATTTATTGAAACTGATGTTTTACAGTAAATGTCATTAAAAGGGAGCTTGAAGAGCTTGTGAAATCTCAATTAAGCAAGTAGTACACATCAAAGCAACAGATGTCTTAAATTGACCAAAATGTACCAAAACAAAAATTTTAATTAGCCTTTGAAAATATTTTAGCATGCTTTTTCACTTCACTGAAAGTCACAGGCAAGCAGAGACTACAATAATATATAAAAATGCAGCCCAACAATATAATTGCACCAGTAAAGGACACCAAAATCTAAGAGGTAGTCAAAAGAAGTAACCCTGATAAAACACAGTATCCTGACAGATGCTCCCTAATCTCAGAGACCCACATACGGTAGGAAATTCTTATATTTTCAGTGATTAGAAAACCTCACTGGTATAGAATCTAAAAACCAAGTATCTAAAAGAATAATACTGTAAATGGAACAATACTCATATTTGCAATTAAAAAAAACCCCAAAAACAAAAACTAAGAATAAAATCATGATTAGAGGTCCTCAGCCTGCAGGCCAAATCTGGCCTACTGCCAGTTTTTCCATAAAGTTTTACTGAAATACAACCACGCTCATTTTACTTACATATTGGGTATGCCTGCTGCATTTACTGAGTCGAGTACTTGCAGTCGATCATATGGCTCACAGAACTTAAACTACTTACGATCTGTCTCTTTACAGAGTTTGCTGACCCTTGGACTAGACATGCTGATAGGTATACAGCTGTTGAACAGCCCTGGGAAGATTAACTATGAATGTCACACATATGGATTCAGTTATAAGGAAGGAAAGATGCTAGTTACATCACAATTCAATTCGCTTCATGTCTAACGCTGTCCTAACATTTTCCTTCTTTTCATTTTTGTGATCTGACATCGATGAGCATTTGCAGCTTACTATAAGAAGTTTAATGCAGCGCTGTCCCATGGAAATTTCTGCAATGATGGAAGTACCTCTGCACTGTCCAGTACTGTAGGCACCAGCCATGTGTGGCTATCAAGCACTTGAAATGTGGCTAGTACAACCAAGGATCTGAATTCTTAATTTTATTAAATTACCACATGTGGCTTTTGGCTACATTGGACAGCACAAATTTAACTCAACCAAAATACCAAAGTGTGACTTTCAATAGTGACCAAAAATAATAAAGTAACATCTCTGAAGAAACAGCTTTGGGCAGAAATGAATGGAATACGATAAACTCAGCCAAGACTAATTGCTTAATTAGCAAACAAAATCAAACCAACTCCAAACTGTTCCTCCACTGCACTCTTTTCAAAGTGAGGAGGCAAAACTACTAACATATCTTTTTTTTTTCAGCAGAAATCCTGATAATTTTTTGCTTAAAAGCAGATAATTGTTATCTTCATTAATTACATTAAAAAGTATATAGGCATTTCAAAGTATTTTTTAGCTTACTTCCCATAAGAAAGTCACCTCTTATCCACACCCTTAATGTTTCAACTGTGCTCTACAGAAGACTTTTCCCTAGTAGGTACATATGAGAACTATGACTTCTTCTAAATGTGCAAAATTTCCAATTAAGAAGTCATTTCAATAGGCAAATCTTTCAAATATTGTTATCCTCCGTTACATTATAAAACATACGTACCCATTCAATGACAGAATTAGAGGACAGACGTAAAACCTTAAAGACATCAAGTCAAAAAATCTAACTCTTGTATATTTCTCCATGTGCCTACCTACTTTTATATGGTCCAAAACAATAAAATATAGATGTATTTTTAGATTCCACATTACTGATTATGTACTGAATATTAACCAAGTTACTGGTACAACTGAAAACGTTAAAATATACAAAGTCACTCTGAAAAGACAAATGTTTGTTTCAGATGTTTGCTGATACATTCCAATTATTCACATGTGCTCCCCCAGGTAGCTAATTCTATATTGTTTTCAAAGTCATCTGTCAAAATTAATTTTATGCATTTTGATTTTAAATTATCTGATATCCAGAATCACAAACTTCTTTCCAATCTGGTAGTTGAAAGATATAAAATATTTTAAGGGCACTTCTGTTTGTTTTCTTTTGCAGTTTAATCAGATGTTGTAGCAGGAACTTTAACAGAGAGATGTCTTCTGGTGTTGGTGATGTGTCGTTGCTGTGCTAGGAAAGACCGTGCAGGAGCACACGCGCCCGTGTCTTTGCAAGTACCACTGCCGCTCACAAGCCTAGATTCCATCCCCAGTTTCTGGAATGCCAGACTCTGAACAAAAATAAGTAACACGACTATTTAGAGTTGACAAAGTGCTGTTCACATATATAAGGTTATTTAATCCTCTAATCAGTTTCTAAACCCTTATTTTTTTCTGTAAAAATGGGAAAAGCACCAGCTTGATAGGATTGTTTAATCTGTACATGGTAATGCTAGTAACCAAGGAAAAAACATACATAAAACCCAGTTTCTCTATTTTAATCCATTACATTTGGAATTAAAAACTAGTTTAAATAATGTCTTGGAATTATAACAAAGTTCTAAGGCGAATTTTTGTTTTGGCACCATTATGAGTAGACACAGCACAAGAGAAAAGTTCAGCTCAGTGGTTCTCGAAATGCAGTCTCTGGATTAACATTTGCACAACTGGGAACTTAAAAGTGCAAATTATACCTGTGGATTCGACTCTGACCTACTGAATAAGAGCTCTGCAGGTAAGTCCAATCGTTAGTGTAGTAACAAGTCTTCTGATGCAACCTGAAGCTTGAGAACCACAATACTACTAGGGCCTGTCTATATATCGACACATGACAAATGAGTTGTGGCTGTTGGGTTTCTTACTAAGAAAAGTCATTCCTCTCTCACGAGACCACATAACACAATTTGACTGAACTTACGTAGCATCACAAGTAGTACAATACACAGTATATAGTAAATGCTCAAAAAACAGAGGTTGAAAAATGATTAAATAATGCATTACTTTGGCTCTAATATCTTTAATGATTTATGTATCAAAAGGCCACAGAGAAACAACAAAAATAATACACAGTCCCTGATATTAACTAGGATGAGGGAAGGTTCTGGGAACACCTCACAGAATTTCCTGCAGAGTCTTGCTAAATTAAGACAGACTTTACCAAACAGAGGGGAGGGAAAGAACACAGACAAAAAGTACAGTGGCATGAAAGAAAAAGGCACGTTTGAGGAAGGAGAGCCAGTTCTCCGCGGTGAGGCACAGGGCTCACATGGGGAGGGTCTACAAACTGACACTCTGTCATGAAAAACAGCAGGGAAGACAGACAGCGGCCGCCCTGTGACCTAGGCTAGCTGATTAGAATACTCAGAAGAGCCGTGTAATCAAGAAATGCTACTCTTAAACATCACACCAATACTATGGAAAACAAACTAAAATACATTTAAAGTTATTTTATACTATTTTCTCCTTTTTAGGACTGACAATCATTGAAGAGCAATCTCTGGATTAAAAAAAAAAACAAATACAGTAAAGGATATGCTGAGAGGCTTTAGGGATGTAAAATAAATGGTGAGTACCAGCAGCACTTAATTTTGCATGACACCGATACTCACATTTCTGCAGAAACCCTTTATGAAGTACAGATGAGGTCTTTTAGCTCCAATAGGGCAATTGTAAAAATGTTTATGAACTGTGTATGTTTCACGTGCATTAACTTAAAGGTCGGTGAGTCGTGAAATCTACATAGTGGCTTTGAAAAAGTCAAAATCAACTAAAAACATTAAGCTGAAATATAATTTGGATTTGACCAACATTTAAATAAAAAAAAAAAAACCCAGAAGAGAACACATCAGAAAATGGCTGAGTGCGACGCACACAGTCAGGGTAACATGTACTAACTTGTGGTATAAAGTGTATTTCCTTCTGTGGTTCTTGGTCAAAATGTTTGATAAACACTGTTCTAAACATCCAGTCACCGGCTAAATTTCAACTCACCTTATTATACCAGGCAGAAACAATGAGTTTTTCTTCATAATCACGGAACTTTGCCACTTTACATTCACTCTGGAAAAAGATATGAGGACTATTAAAATCCCAGAAAGAAGCCCAAATTCCTAAAAATGGAATGATTTGTTCACCGTGCTCATGATCAGGAGAACGTGATAAATGCATTGTGAGGCACACAGAGTAGCTGGAAGGTGAAACTGAATCATGGAGAAATGTCTGCGCTCACTTTAGGAACTTCACTGGGAGAACAGATATTAAACAAACAGTAACAAGCAGGGAACAATTGATTCTTATGCTCCTGTCCCCTGTATCTAGAGAAAAAGGTGAACAAGTGACTTAGGGGACAAGACCAGAGTTGCACCTAGGGAGGAGTCAAAACTAAGGAGAAAGAGGATGTAGTGAGAAACATCCCAGGAGACCCTTTAAGTCCCTGTAAAGATGAGCACACACTCTCAGTTCTTGGTGACTTGTGTACTAGGCTGGCTGCAAGCCGCCCTGCCCTGGAGACTGACATCCATCTCTCAATCACTCAGATACAGCTAGTTCTGCAATTCTGCTGAGCGCCAGCTGTAAGTTGGCTCTTATAAAATGAAACACCTGAATGTTCCTACAGCAAGATGCCCGTGATATGAAAGCACACAGGAAACACAGAGGGAAGGAGCCCTTCTGCTGGCTCACGTCCACTGCAGGCAGACTCCCCGAGGAGGGTGGCAGATAGGAAAAAAACAGTTATAAACGTTAGTTTTCTTTTTTACTTTTTGCAGTGTGTGTGCAGATTAATATCCATAAAGTAAAGGCCCACATGCTGCACCCTAACTGAAGATTTTCCTCAGAGCCCTACAGTCAGAGGCACCATCCTGTCACCAGACTCGTGGGGAGCTGCGTCAAGCATCAGCAATCAGTGGTGTGCTCTCACTGGCTTTCCCCGGGAAGTGAATAATCAGGGCAACCGAGATTTCAGAGATCATTCAGTTCCAGTCTCACTGTTTTACAGATGAGGAGACTGACAACCGGAGAGGAGCGAGCGATGACTTTACTCAAGCTGTAACCCTGGCCTCTGATCTGTGTGATACTTCACGCTGTGGGTAGAGACATGAGGTACAGCTTCTGCCCTCAAGACACTCTGACACATGCCAGAAAGAAAAATGCTGCTATCGTGGGATGAATTCAAGTTCAAAGCACATGGAATCGCTTCGGAGAAGGAACTATGCCCAAGATAAATACAAGGGAAGCTTTATAAGGGAGAAGACATTGGCGTTGCATCCTAAAGAATGAACAGTACTTCTTCAGAGAGAAAGCTCTACCCAGTGCGTTTTACAACACTTGACAGGCCAGGACAAGCACTTACAGTAAGTACACGAGGGGGCTGCTGTGTACTCTGGATCTTAAAGTCTTTAAATCTTTAAATATTTTCGCCAAAGTCTACTGGCTCAGGAATACTATGAAGAAAATGGTAAGTGAATATGTTTCCCAAAATATAACATTCCTAGTTGATTTAAAAAGAAACCAACTGTTGATTATGAAAATTTCAAGGTTACTGTATAGAACTCATTACAGCTCTGGAACTGCACAAACATTATTATGAGGAAGTAGATATACTGGCTTTGAGAACTGCAGCAAATCTTACCATAGTGTTAAAAAGAGGAGTTTCGTAAAATACTTAGCAAAGAAAACTAGAATATGCTCAATTATAAAATCTACGGTTATATGATTCCATACTGGCATACCTAACCCAGCTAGGAAAAATGAGTCACTAGCACAAAAATAATTTTAAAATTTAAAGACTTGGCTAATTAAGAAGAACACGTCATCACTAACATAATTTTGCATGATTAACAACCAAGACTGCGCCACCTTCATTCAGTAGCTTAGTGTAATTCTTTAAGCATTTTCTTTTCTCAGGAACTCCAACTGGTAAGTCTGTTTAGGTTCGGGTGAGGAATAGGGAGAAGAGAAGAAACTCTGGTTCACTGAGTCCACTACCTTTTTAAAAAGGCGGACGCTACCAGAAAGGAAGGGCTATCCTCAGGACTGGCTGTTGCAGAGAGGGAGGAGTACAAGGCAGCAGGCACACAAACATGCAGAGATCAATCTCGTGGGCTAACGAGATGCTCTGTATAAACATACTGACGCTCAGACATGATGCTCCTAACTTCTCGTGGAATTTGATCAATGACAAATATTTGACAGCAGTTAATTATCATGAATATACAGAATAATTAAAAGGAGATGTGTGAGATGGAAGTTTTACCTCCAGAATCTCAATTCTTCTCTCTTTCTCTGCCAACTGCTTTCTAAGTAGCATTATTTCAGCTGATGCTGGATTTAACTTGGGGTCTAAAGTTTTTATTACCTGTTTAAAGAAAAAAATATTTTATGTTCACTTTATCCTGTCAAGTATTGAAATATAAGAACAGCCTATAAAATCTGTGTCAATAAAGTGGAACATTACCCAGAAAGTGATCCAGGAGCTAACTACAGCCTGTTTCACAATCTAATTTGAACAACAAACAATCTACACTAGAAACGGTATAAAAATTCAGTACAAAAAAGGAAGATCCCTATCCCCAAATCAAGTTTCCTTCCCCAAATTGCAAGGTTCCATACTCAGGTACTTAGCCTTATCAACCTTGAGCATTTGAGGTCTTGAAATACTTGAATATTTTTTTTTAAAAATTAAAATGAATTCAATACTTACATGGGAATTTGATGACTTTACAAAGTAAGACTAACATACACATACATTCTCAGCAACAATCTTTTTTACTACCATTACTTAGTTAAATGTAATTCAATATATAAGATAAGAGACATCAGTGAATTTTGGTAGCAAGTTCTAGAGTACGCAATCACATTTATGTGAATTACTCAAAGTTGAACAAAAAGGCGTTTGATCAGAATGTTCAGAGACTGAACTAAACTATGCAGTCAGCAGTATGGTAGGAAATCAGCTCAGAAATATCAGATATAAATTACTAACAAAAACAAGTTCCAATGATAAGGCCATCTATCTGTATGATGTAATTACAAATCTATATTAAGTTTAAAATCACTAAATGAGTTAAGAAAACTTCATCTATGTATACAAAGGTAAAGAAAAAAGACTAGAAGGTATATCCCTAAAAATTATTGCTGTTCAGACTGCCAAATGTGGCAGACGGGGCTGCAGCAGTTTACCAGAGCCAGGGGCACCTCTCCTTACAGAGTTCACGTAAAAGAAGACACAGTAAAAAGTTTAAATTATAATTTAATTACAAAGAACACACCATAATTTGTTGCTCTAAGTGATAAAATGTATGGTTGTCATTTTTCTATATTGTCTGAATTTTCTATCATGAACATAGGTTACTATTTTAACCTCCCCTGAAATATAAGAGGTAAAACCAAAATCATGTTTACCAAAAAAGCAGCTGTTTTAAATTACAGTATTTGATGATAGCAAGAATATGGTATTCAATGTCATTGCTTTGTCTAATCCTTTTAGAATGTCGTTTAGAAACAGGTACCAAGCATCTCATTGAAATGTTCTCATCCTATGATCTAATAATTCCATTTGGCACATCAACCTAGGAACAAGATTAAGATAACAAACGAAAATAAGGGGAAAAATTTCTATATAAATATGTTGCCTCTTGCCTTGTTTCTAGGAGCAAAAAAGAAAAAGAAATGACATCTATTTCCAATAACAGGATGATGAGTAAGTTGAACAATGATATATCCTCTCAACTGAATGAATATTACATAGCCACTCTCCACTCTTTGTTTGCAAATCTGCTCTATAAGCAACTGTCTGTCTTGTTGATTGCTGTACTCCCAGTGCTGAGCATTAACAGGCACTTAATAAATATTAAATTCATTTATATAACATGAGGATATTATTTTAAGTTTAAAATACAAATCATATGAGACATGATCATACAAACTGTGTATATTGTGATAAGCAATCAAGGAGACAACAGGTATAGGAAAAATGCACTGTTAAGAAAATACACCACAAGGTTAATGGTAGTTGTCTCTGGGAAACTTTCTATACATTTTCTACTAAAAGCATTCACCCTTTTGTAACTGAGAGAAACTGAACTGTGGCAGACTGCCTGGATGCTTAGCACGCCTGCCTCCTTAGTTGGGTGTGGCCATGTGCCTGAGTTCTGCCCACTGAAATGAGAGGGAAGTGGTTTATACTTGATCCATTCTACATCTAGGCTGTTTTCCTCAGCTGTACTTGGACAATGTCAAGTGAACTTGAGAGCCCCATGTTGAAGAAGGCTGAGCCTCTGTCAGCTTGGGACACAATAACTGCACTTCTTGTGATCAAGGAAAAAACTTCTATCCTGTGAAGCCTTGAGATCTTGGCATTTACCTGTTGCTGCAGGTACTATTTACACCTTAATTAATAAATATAAAACTTAAACATAAAACAGACAGACATATTAGCAGTATTTTGATGCTTTGTCATAAAATTCTCTTCAACTATTCAGTAAATAAAAACGTACGTTAACCTTATCTGCAATTCTTACTGGTTAATTAGGAAAATATATTCATGGACATAAAAGACTGTAATGGTAACAGTACTTACAGGTGTTTAAGAACAAGTATGAAATGAAAGATTAGTCTAGTGAACATTGGAATAGTCTGACTCGTCTAGACTTCCTGCTAAAACAATTTAAACCAGTTTGAAAAGCTCACATTTCACAAAGGTGTTCGCTGCAAGAGCTAACAACTACACACCTGACGGTAGTCATGTTCTCTACTGAGGTCACTACAATCAACGTTTAGACTCTCCCTATGAAGCCCTGTGTTGCTGTATCCAGTGCCTGTGAGCGCGAGGGAGAGGGCACAGGACTGAGGTGGAGACGCGGCACGAACCTGACCTGGAAGGCAGGGCCGTGGGGCACGGTGGGGTGACACAGACAAGAAGAGCAGTGCTGTCCGGTGGGACAGCCCCAGTCAGAACCCGGGCCACAGAGACCAGAACCCTGAAAGTAAGTCACTCACATTTCTTGCTTTCTCTAAGTACATTTTGTATCTTTCCTCCATTGCTTTCATATCTTCATCTTTCTTCTGAAGAGCAGCTTCAAGTTCATTGATCTTTTGTACTATTGTTGAAAATAAAATGAAACACGATCAATTAAAAGTGATGCCTCTCATGCAAAAATTTTATTTATCTTCTAAAGACTGATAAGAGAACTTACAGGAGAAACCTTTTCTTCTTCATAGTGAATTCTTATCTAAAACTTTTGAACCACAACCAATATATCCTTGATCATTTTGTATTATTTTTTCTTAAATAATATCTATAATCTGCCTTACTAAGCTGTTTTTCTCCTATCAAGTATTTCAATGAGCAAATACACCTTTACAATGTAAGTACAACCATTAGGAAATAAAGCATCATTTCTACATGTTTGAAGTTCATTTTAATCTGACTATAAATTATTTTATACTTCCATAGTATTAGTTCTATTATATTTTACAATGTTTGATACTCCTATATATCAATCAGTTCATTTCATTAGATTTACTTTATTTTTTTGCTTTAAGATCATTAATTACTTAAGTCACTAAAAAAAAATCATGGTTCTTATTTACAATATATGTGTCTAATGTATCTAGCCCAAAGACTTATACAGTTCTTGCATCCTTTAACTAAGAAAAGGCAAGTCTTTAGATTTGATCCAGGTTTTTATAAATACCTACCATTCTGGTTTACATCTGGCTGAAGGTCTTCAATGAGCTCTTGTTTCTTCTGTAATTCTTCATGGACCTCTGTTAGTTTTTCCCTAAGTAGTGGAGAGAGCATGCAGCTTTGGAGCCAAACAGACCTAAGAGTGAAAACTGGCTTCTGCCACATAACATTTGCGGACTGTGGGCAGGTCACTTTCTGACCTGTGAAATGGGAATAATACCTGCCCAGTATTCTAGGGGTGGGTTGTGAGGATGTAAACTACTTGACACATGCTAGGTGCCAAAAAGGTTAAATATTCCCCCTCTGCCTCCTAAGAAAGTTAAAGGAAATCCTTGATAGGTGAAGCATCAAACAATTCCACATACTCTAGCTATGATACTCATCTGCTTTGTAAACTCTTCAGATGACATTAGCCATTGAAAAATGTAGGAGTGTGGGATCACGGGCAGGCAGGCTGACCCTTTTACCATGTTTTTCTCTTCACTTTTTTTGTGGCAGTGGTGAACATTCAATTGGCAGGACATTTGTTTTTCACAAACCAAATCAGGAATGGATATTAACTTTAGAAGCTTTTAAAACCCTTCCCCTCTCATAGTTGAAATGAAATATCAGTTTTACTTACATATGAGCTTCCAACTTCTGCTTTAGTTTGCTGGACTATAAAAATTAGAAAAAGTTGCTGTAAGACAACTACTGTGACAAAGATAAGTGTTCCAGACATCAACATCTCTACCTCCTTTTGAAGGTGTACTATGTAAATTCATAAACGTTTTAAAAATTTGTATTTGTAATAACTTACTTATAAAAACATAAAATTTGGGGTATAGTTTTACTTCAGAGAAGAAAGGAAAGAATAGGAAATTAAACAAGGAAGAGTAAGTACAATGGCAGGAATAAAAATGCTTCATATTCCTGAATACAATGAAAATAAAATTTGAACTTGAAGAAAAATAGCAAATGCAAGCTAAATGTGATATATTGAGGAGTATCAAACATTTAAAAACCTAAAGCATCATTCGTCTAAAATATAAGTAAGATTTTAGACCTTCAATGAAAAAGACTTAAAGAACTAAAATAATTATCTTTATAATAAAACCTTATTATAAATGCAGGCACTTAAATATTATCAAATGAAGTAACTGGATTTTGTTAAAAAAATTTAAAACAAAATTTCTGTTTTCCTTTTTTTAAGCATAGGAATTTAAATTGCAATAAGTCTGTATCATCTACTGAACATCTTGAAGAGTTTTAAAAAATTTATTGATGTCCAAATTATATTTCTTTATATATTTTAAAGATATTTAAAAACTGTAATCCAAAGTGTACTAAACAAAAATGATCCCATTTTTAAAAATATTCTCTAATGTGGCTTAAAAATTTTTGTATTAGAGAGGTTACAATACCGTATATATGCACATATGAGATGCCGCCATGCATGAGACGATTTCTATTTTCCAAGCCCCCAGGGAAAAAAGAGAAAATCATATAAAGCATATAAAAGACAGAAGGGAAATGCAACCCTTTCAACCTTCCTTTTCATCTATTTGCTCTCCCTCCGTGGTTTTATCCCGCATCGACACAGGGACGATCCCACTTTATCCATCAACATCTAACACTTGGCTCTGTCTTTTATTGCTGCTGTTTTAGTTACGTGCACTCCTCCCTCTAGTACTACTGCCTTTCCCCTCTGCGTATATAGATCAAGCCGTGGAAACATTGTTAGATATATTCAGATTTAGGCTGCTGGATCTCTTTTAAGATCTCTTATCTCTGGTCTCACAATTATTTGCCATCAGCCACCACTAGAAATGGCAAGGCTATGAGCCTGTATGGAACAAGGGAAGAAATAAGGAGCGATGGGTCTTCAAGACTGCATTAAGACTTCCATCCTCTGGAGGTTGGTGTGACCTACTTATTGAATCCTTTTTGGTAGAAATCACTTTCTCATTCTCTCTTTTTCTCAATTCGGACTGCTGATTACTCTCACTAGGGTTCTTCCCAGGCCAGACCTGCCGGAATTCTAGCAGGACTGTGAACACTTCAACCGTAGCTTGCTCTCAGGCAGGAATTACCATGAACTGAGGGTAGCTGTTGAAGTAGGACAGATAGAAATCACCTTCCAATCCATAACACCAATTTATAGGCTCCAAGTTGGCAAAATCACTGCATCTGCTATGCAGATATATACGGTATTTAAGGGCACCCTCACTAGTAAGGGTAGTGCTTTCAAACACAAGATTAATTTGGGTATCAGGACCTATTACAGACAGTCACAACAGAATTACCGTAATTTTTAAGTTACTTACACTTTCTCCTTCAGACTTGGAGCCTTGTTCCTGTAAAGACTTCTGGAGGTCCTCAATCTGCTGCTGCAATTCTCGGATTCGCTCTCTGCTCAGTCTGTCATAAGATGAATCACATGTGCTTATTTGTATTGAAGGGCAAAGCAGTTAAGGCTCCATAAAGGTACGTTCATGCAGTTTAGCTCAAAGCATACATTTAACAGCAATAACCAACGCTGAGCAATTCTCTCTGGCTAGGTATAATATATGGTATAGTAGGCTACCATAGTCAAGGAAATATTCTTTAAAAAAAGACATTTTTATCCTAAAAGCATATATGCTCACATTTAAAAATTTAAGGTACTTAATGTGTCAGTGGCAAAATAACAACATTTTGCACTGTATTTACTGGTATAAAAATGAGAAAACTAGCTCAATTTTCCCACAGTTGTATTTTTAATGAATGGAAACTAGGTTTCCTTTTCTTGTTTCAGATTTCACTGAAGGCCACTATTTTCCAACCACTTCATGACTTTTTATTTAAATTAAAGAGATTGGCACTAGCAACTAGTGTAGATTTTTAACTTGGCAAAACCTCATTTTTTAAAACCCCGCTTAACCATTTCCCCCACTGAAGTTACCAGCAAGACAATCTGTCTGACTTTCTCTCTTCATTCATATATATACATGTATCTGTATATATATGACACAACACACCTGCCCATTATAATGCTCCATTGTTGCAGTTATCACATAATTATTATCTCTTCACATATCTATCTTCCTATATTAACCTCTGAAAGCTGCAACTTAGTATCTCCAGTGCTGATCCTGAACTGTATAAAACAGTAATATTTAATGACCTCTTCAGAAAGCTAAAATGTTGTTTTTCTTTTAGCTCGAGTTGATGTAATAGTATACATACAAGTTTGAGAGCAAGGTTCAAGTAGTTTTAAAATCCCTGGTGGTCTCTAAGATCCAATAATCCAAATCCTTTATTGCAAGTGTGCTATTTAGACGAGGCAGGTTAGCACCGTGGTTAAGAGCACAGACTCTGCAGTCAGACTGACAGAGGGTTCAAACGCAGGATCTAGAACTTGCTAGCTGTGTTAAGTTTGGACAAGTGACTTACTCTCCTTATACCTCAGCTTCCTTGTCCATAAAAGAGAGATATTCACAGTTACTACTTCACAGCGTTATTGTGAGAAGTTACTGAATTAATACCTGAAAGTGCTTAGAAAAGTGCCTAGCACTAGTAAGCACTACATAAATGTTATTTTTTAAAATACTGTAATTTTTGAGCACCTCATTGGTTTCAGATAAGTATACCATTAGCTTTACACACATTATCTGCAACCTTCCTAACAACCTGCAAATAGGTATCGCCTCCAATTTCCAGCACTAGTGTGAACTTAAGTAACCTGCCCAGTTTAAGCAGAGGTACAATTCAAATTTGACTTCACAATCTATGTACCAGACTGCAGCAGAAAACCAGGCTGTCATTTATTCATTTGTTAAATTTTGTCATTTGTGAAGACAGCTAAGTGAAATTCAAGAAAAAGCAACCTGGTTAACAAAGCCTGCTAAAAATAATGGGTAGTAAGAGATAAAATCAAAAATTTAAATTCCTTCTGCAAATCCTAATTATTTTAACTACTTAGGTGATTAAATCGTTATGATTATCAACTATAAAGAAGTGTGTCACCTCTGCTCGGTTTCCAGTTCGTTCATCTTGCGGTGCTTCTGTTCAAGCTGCTCCTGAAGCTCTTCGATACGTTCGTTCTCAGTACCTTCCTGCTGTAATCGAAGCATCTTATTTTCATGTTGCAGTCGAATGAACACCTCCCTGAGGTTAAAAAGCAAAATTTGTTTTTAAATTTTTTAAATGTAAGTTTTTACATTCTGCACTTTTTAAAAAAGGACATTCCTGTCTACCCAATAGCTATCACTTTAAAATATTACTAAACCTTCCAAAAGTGTGTTTTAAAAATCTGTGCATTGTTAAGACTATGTCTCAAAAAAAGTAGTAGTTTTTAAAAGTACAGGTATAAGATTATATCATATATACCATTGAATTTTTATTACTCAAATCCCTAAGACATAATATGAATTATTTTACTTTGATAATGTAGAAACTACTTACACTAAAGGTAATACAAAGCACATCCTTAGAAAATATATAAATAAAAAGCAGCAAATTTAAGAAACAACAGTTTGCCTAAAATTTTTAAATACACTTTTATGATCTGGGTATCTCTAGATTTTTTATTTTTAGAAAAAAATTTATTAAAGGTTTAAACACATATATTTTTAAAAATGCAAATGATAGGAATGGTATTAAATAAAAAAGTAATGCTCTTTGACCTGCTGCCCTCCTAAATCCCATTCCCCAAAAGCAACTAACTTCAATTAATCTCAATTTTTGTTTTCCTGAACGCCAGCACCATAACTTTCAAAAATAGGCTCATGTGGCTACTTTTCAATGATTAATATCACTGGATATTACTAAATAAAAAGTGCAAGTTAGTTTCCAGTCCAGCACATAAGGAGATCTATCTTAACAGCCAAAAACTGAACAAACTGATAATCAACAACTTCGTAAACATTATGCAAAGTGAACAAAGTCACAAAAGGCTGCATATTGTATGATTCCAAGTACATAAAATGTCCATCAGACAAATTCAGAGAGACAAAGAGTAGATTATCGGTTGCCTGGAGTCGGAGGGGAGGCAGGGATGGAGGATGACTGCTAAGAGGTGTAGGGTATCTTTTGAGGGGATGAAAATGTTCTAAGTTAGATAGTGATGATGGTTACTCAACCCTGTGACTATACTAAAACCCACCAAACTGTCTTTAAATGAGTGGATTATATCTCAATAAAGCTGTTTAAATAAAGAGTACAATTTGAAGTAATTAGTAAATAAAACTTGCCACAAAGAAGGAAAAGGAAACCATAAAAATACCACATTAGTCAGATATCTAGAAGTAAACATAACAGTAAAATACCAAAATAAAAGTTGGGTCAAGAGGAGCCTCTTAAATTTGTATTTTATTTAACTTCTGCTTAATTCTGAAGTCTACAGCTCCTCTCCTACTTTTTCCACTTGCGTGGATTTGAATGCCATCTACTAAAAAGATTTTACACAGATTTTTAAAAAGGAAGTTCCTGTCTACTCAATAGCTGTCATTTTAAAAAGTTACCAAAGAGTCTAAGGATAGAAAAAGAAAAGAAGTTCAACACAATAAGGGCCATATTATAAAAAGTAGAATATGTTATTTAGCGAGTAAGGGAAATTCTATTTTTGATAAATTTTTATACTGCTGTAGTAGTAGTAACAGTCTGATTCAGAAAGTATAAGCACTTGAGGCAAAGTAATTTTCAAGCTCTATGACTTGTAAAATGGAAAATGTTAAAGGCTTAGAAATTTACAAAAAGAAGAAATCACATTTCTAATATTAGGTATGGGTTATCAATCGATTAAAAACAAATTTACCTATACTCCACTGGCATAATCTCAGCAGCAAGATTCTCATAACTTTTTGTAGCAGATGCATCTAAATAATAACAACAACGAAAATAAATTAACATTTCAGTATTTCTACCATTAAAATTGATCTTTTCTAAATATAACAAAACTCACCTGTTTGGTTTAGGTGATCCTGTTGTACTTGTGAACATCGAAGCTCTTCATTCGTTTCTTTCAGCGTATCACGCTGTTCTATTAGTCTCTAAAAGAGAATTGTTTATATAAACAAAATGTTTAATTCTGCCCAGAAGCAATGTACTTTATGCTTAAAATAATTTATCTTAACGTGTGAGTTTGATAATTGTTCCTTAGTTAATTAAAAATCACAATGTTTTAGTTTCAGTGCTAAGGGGTAATTTTCTCTTCCATACAACACAAAGCTTGTGATTTCCTCGCTAGATAGTTTATCTTCGAACCAAATGAATATAATTATGTAACAAGAGTACAAATATGCAACTGTAAAGTAATTAAAAAAAAAAAAAAGCATGGACTTTGGAGGCAACCAGATCATGGCTTGAATTTAGTTTCACTGCTTCCAGCTATGTTATCTAAGGTAAGTTATTTGACTCTTTGCCTTTAGATCTTTACCATCAAAATGGGAAAACTGATTTTCATAAGCCCTTGCAAAGGTGTTCTGAGTAGCGAATGAGGTAAAAGTCTGTCTAACGTCCCGGATATAGTCTGGTGTGTAAGAGATGCTGCAGGCTTCTTATTTCCTTCTATTACTGCTGTGAAAGTCTACTGAAAGAAGTGATCAGCAGCACACTGGAGGTATGAATTTGTGGAAAAACACTATTTCCCAGGGATAGCATGCTAGGACTTCCTAACATTGGCTATGTTATTGTACAGCTGACAGCCAATGACAAATTTCTATGTTCCATGCAAAAGGCTCACATTTAAATGATTTTCCTGGCACATGAAAAGTACTTAAACATAAAATCATATTTTAAATGTTATATTTCAAGTCAGTAAACAAAACCCTATTCCGTCCATTATATGGTTCAAATCAATAAATTGGTAACTGATTCCAAGGGTCCTTAAGCCAGAGGATCCTAGGGATCTCTGAACACTACAAATTATAACTACAGTCAGGCACGAGGACCCCTATAAATGTGTTCCCTCATAAATGCAATGCAAACACTAGCAAATTTGTCAAAATCAACTTTTCAGAACTTTCAAAATTAACCAAAGGTCTGCCATGATCTAAGGTGCATTTGTTAAAGAAAATCTGCTAAATCTCAGAATACTGAGCTTTCTGTTCTTTTAACAAGTCTTACTACCATCACCCTCTCCCCAGCTCTGCAACAGCCTTGACAACCAGCTGCCTCCCAATCTCTGTAGCTTTGAAAAGCAGCAGCTTAGAAGGGGCAAACTGGCTAGGAAACTCCTCCTAAAAGCCCCGTCCTTAGGTCCTCAGAGAACCATCACAATTTGGTCTGTCTCACAGCACCCTGGAGAAGCTCCAGTTATACTTTCTATTATCTGAGCTGACTGGGTGCTGGCTGTGTAGGAAAATCCCTGTTCCTAAGGCATCTGTCAAAACCAGTCATCAGCAATTGTTTATCACTGCAGCTGCTGGAAGCAATGATGCCAGTAAGGACAAACAAAAGAGTCTTGCCAAGAACTTCTAAGGAAGAGCTGAGAAACGAGAGATCCACAGAGGACTTTGAAAAGCTCTGACATAATCCTGGACATCCAGGAGGCCAGCCATGTACAGAGGTGTGTGCAAGCCCAGAGAAGACCTTTGAGGGCCCAGTATCTCAACTCTGGATAAAGTTGAGGCCTTGTGTAAACAGGAAATGAAGGCAAAGGCAGAATTTTAAACTGCTTGAGAATTTCAGGTATTTTCCAAAATACACACGGAGTCCTCTGGCAAGATACTGGTTCCAGGCATCTATGGAAATATGTGACCAATCATTAACTGACCCCAGTGGCAACTGAGCAGAGAATTCAGTGGCTACATATTACAAAGCATGAAGACTTTTTGGAATTAGTCCAAAAGAGTCACTAAAACACCAGCAACTAACAACAAATCCTGAGGCTGAGGGAAACCTGATTTCCAGCATTGAAATATTGTATTATCTTAAATGTCATACTTTCAACAAAAATACAGAACACACAAAGAAATACGGTCATCCTTATACAGGAAAAAAAAGTCAACAGAAAGAGTCAATGAGATGACCTTAGTGGATGGAGACACTAGACAAAGACTTTAAGTAAACTAAAACCTAAAAAGCAGGAAAAATTTTTCAACTCATTCTATGTGGTATCACCTTGATAACAAAACCAAGCAAATGATATCAAAAGAAAACTACCAACCAATATCTCTTACAATATAGACTGAAAAACACTCAACAAAATACTAGCAAACTGAATCTAGCAACACATAGAAAGGATTATACCTTATGACCAAGAAGAATTTACCTCAAGAATGCAAACTCATTTAATACTCAAAAATTAATGTAATATGCCACATTAATTCATCTTGCTGACCCAGAAGCAAATGAGAAAATCCAAAACTCTTTCATGATAAAAACATGCAACAAACTAGGAATAAGAGGAAAACATCTTCAACCTGACAGAGAGCATCTACAAACAAAACCCACAGCTAACAACACCCACACTGGTTAGAGTGAACACTTTCTCCCCAACATCAGGGACAAAAGAAGGATGTCCACTCTTGTCATTTCTATTCAACAAAGGACTGGAGGTTCTAGCCAGGACAGTTGGGCAAGAAAAAATGCATTCAGTTAGTAAAGGTTTTTTTGTTATTGAGTTGTGTGAGTTTGTAAGTGTTGTGTGAGTTTGTATATTCTGGGGGTCAAGCCCTTGTCAGTCACATCATTTGCAAATATTTTCTCCCATTCTGTAGGTTGTCTATTCATCTTGTTTATGTTTTCCTTTGCTGTTTAAAACCTGATGGTATTTTTGCAGCAGCAGCAGCAGCAGAATAGTTTTTCATTTGATGAAGTTGAAGTTATATTTTTCTTCTGTTTGTGCTTTTTTGAGCACAAACCACTGAGTAACCTTAGGTTATAATGATTTATTCCTATATTTTCTTTTAGGAGTTTTATGGTTTTAGCGCTTTTATTTACTCTGTGATCAATTTGTAATTAATTTTTACATGGTGTGAAATAGGCTTCTGACTTCATTCTTTCGAGTGTGGATATTCAGTTGTCCCGGCACCACTTGTTGACAGAACTGTTCTTTCCCCCATTGAATTACTGGCAATTGATTTTAACAAGCGCACCAAG